GACTTTTTCTATTGTTTCTCTATTGTATCTCTAGCTTGTTTAGGTCTCCTCTAATCTTTATCATTGCCTTCATTCTGCTACCTTTGGGTTTAGAATGCTTTTCTTTTTCTAGTTCCTTAAGGTGTAAAGTAAGGGTATTGATTTGAGATTTCCTTTGGTATGTAATTTTATATAGTTATATCATACTTTAAAAATCCTTTTGACAAATCTTTCCTTTAGGTGGAATGCTAAATGCATTTATATTTAATTACTCATAAGGAATTCTGTCATTCTACAACTTGTTTTCAACATGTGTTATATATATAGTTACTTCTTCCTTTACTACTTTGTGGTTTATATTAAATTTATAACAATCTAGTTGGAATTAATAGCAGCTTACATTTGATAGTGTATAAGAACTGCTCATGTACAGTTCTATCCATTTGTTTTTATGAGGTTATTGCCAAATTACATCTCATGCCCTGTGTCTGATTTTGTGTGTCCTGTTGAGTTGCTCTAGGGACTTCTTCAATTCATTTACGGTGTTTCCACTTTTAGAATTTGTATTTGACTCCATTTATAATTTTTATTTCTTCATTTATATTCTCTACTTGGTGATACCTTGTTCATCTGGTTTCCTTTAGCTCTTTGAGTACATTACCGACTTTAGGTAAAGTCTTTAGGAAGTTGAATTGCTGCTTTAAGGACAGTGTCTGTTAACTTCTTTCCTGTGTATGGGTATAATTTATACTTTGTATGTTTTCTACACTGGTCATTCTACATACTGTAATGAAGCAACTCTAGAAATTGGATTCTGCTCCCTCTCCACAACTAGGTTTTGTGGCTTGCTGTGAGTTTGTAGCTATTTAGTGAATTTTCAAAACTGTTTTTGTAAAATTATGTTGTCATTTGTGGTCTGCGAAGTTTGTGTTTCATTGGTTTAGTGGTCAGCTAGTGGTTTGACAGAGGTGTCCTTAAGTGCCTGCAGACAAAAGAGAGAAAAAGAAACAAGAAACTAGTCCCCTGGGCTTTTGCAGACTGACTCTGTTGGGGCACCTTGAGCACTTATCCAGGGAGTTTACAACTGTGCTCTAGCCTTCATGTCTTGCTTGGGCTGGGTGTAAACATCAGCAAGAGGCAAAAGCTTAGCGTCTTCTCAGATCTTTTCTGAGGATGCATCCTGATCTGGGCTTTGGCACGTGGCAGCTTCTCAAAGCCTTTATTCCCCAAAGTAATTCACTCTCCAGCTCTTCCTTTCATTCAGGCATTCAGTCCTGTGTCTATGTCTGTCACAGCTGTTACCATGCTCCTGCCTGAGGCAAAAATTCATTTCATTATTTCAGAGAAACACCCTAGTAGCCACTTTTCTACCCTGAGGAATTTGAGTTAGGTCAAACAAAGACAAACCCCTTGCCTGAATTCTCCCAGTAATCCTCAGGTCAAAACACTATTCTTTAGGAACAGGAGCATTCTGCCTCCTCTACAGTCAGGTACACAGGCTGCCTGGGTAAGACCACTGCTGACTGGGGAGACTAAGATTAAAATGCCATTAAACTATCCATCTGAGTTTCAGTCATATTTTGTTTAAGCATTCATAGGGTTGCTGTCAACTTTTCACTATCTTTCAGACTTCAAGCAACATTGAGGGACACTGCCAGTTTTCCTAGTGTTTCTGTGGAGTGCATGCGTCCTTAGAGTTTTTCATCTTGCCATTTTCATTGCCTATATGTATGCATCGTTTTTAATGGAATTACATGTACCAACAAGTGACCTGATTTTCCTGTTATAGTCCGAATGTGTGATACTTTATTAAAACTTTGTATATACGTAAGACTGTTATATGATAAAAACACAGCATATATATATTTCAGACATAAGTAGATAACAAAAGGAGTATGGAAAGATTCATAAATGACATACGGTCATGAATTAAATAAAGGAATTTAGAGGCTAACATGAACATACTTGTACCATTTTAGTGTGACTACTATGGTCCCCCTTTTCCCACTCTTAGAAAAATTCTATTAGATAAATTATTGGTTTGACCCAGTACAGCTTCTTGCTAGAATATGAAAAACCTCTTGTTTTAATATTTTAAACCGAATGGTTAATGAGCTCTGAGGAACACTGTCTCCTAAAGTCCACTCAACTGTTCTGTTCCTCGATGCTCTAGTTAATGTGTTTGCCTTTGTTACCAGTACTTTTAAAATGCAGTGTTTACTGTGTTTCATCTCAAAATAATATGCCTTGTTTAGAAATAACTACTCTGTTCACATACCTTTAGGGAGGTTCTCCTAATTGCAAGAAAGGGAGTACTTGTCAAGCTCTATGGTTACAAGATCTAATCTCCCTAAATCACCATGCTTGTTGGATTGCTAATTGACAAGGGATATTACTGTATACGCAAAAGAAAATGACAGTATACACACAACACTCCTAGGCTTACTCATGTGAAATATCTGATGAAAAGAACAGTCAGCTGAGCAAAATGCAACATTTTATTCATCAGATGTTAGAAATTAAACTCCTTTAGATGGAACTTTATGTTAAGATTTTTTTATTCTAAGTAGGAAAGCCATTCTTTTTATTCTAACTGGAGATGGTGAAACATACCAGTTTTTAAGGGAGTCTTCAAAACAGCAAATAGGGTTGAAAAGTGACGCTGGAGGATATAGCATAGTAGATACAAATTAATTTTTCAATGTGAATTGTTTGGCAAAGGTAAAGGTAGCGTATATCACATGTGTGGTTTTCCACATGCAAACTTCTGAAAGCAAACTCCATTTGAACCACTCTTTGTAGTTTTTGCCTGTAGCACTTTCCAGTAACAACTTGTCTTGAGGCAGTTTATTTCCTTCTAGAATCACTTCCCTAATGCAACAACAGTCTAGAAAAGCAACAACTTTGTAAGCTATAAAATGCTAAAAAAAAAAAAAAAAAAATTGTCTTTATAGTTGACATAAAATTAATGTTGAGAGGAAATTACATAATATAGGCTAGAAAACTTTTACTAATCTGGGATAGGGAAGTTCTCCTTACCTGGGCCATTGTCTGACTTTGGTCACGACTGAACACTATGTTAAGCTTTATAGAGACCAGATGTATGTTGTTTAATAAGAACTCTCAGCCTTAAGGGGACAGACCAACGTAATTATAATAAAGATATGTTTACATGTAAAATCTGGTCTCAAACTTCAATTGCATGTCTTTTCTCAAAGAATCTTAGAAACTGTAAAAATACTCAATGGAGTTACATGTACATGTCAAGTGCTACGTAGGGATAGGCATTAAATAAATGATCATGATCATTTAATGCTTTTCCATAAGTGACATTTCAGTACTAAGCCTATCAATCTTTGAACAGGAACTAGGGGACCTAATGTGCTTTTTAATAACAGATTTGGGAATATGTAGTAAGGTGAATATAGTTCTGAATTACTGTGCAATTTTCACTGCATATCATGTTTTGACAAGACAGCTTCCTGCTAGCACACATACTGTCCTGGAATTTAGCTTCATATGCCCCTATAGGCTTTGATATTTTCCATTCTTTATTAATTTGATAAAGGTACAAAATAAGTAAATTCAGTGGATGTACACCTGGTCCCTGTTTGAAACTGTGTGCCTGAAACTCCTAACCAACAAAGTTCTCCATGGTCTATTATTTGGATCTTAATGAAAATTAGATGACAAAATCTTAAAAAAAAAAAAAAAAAGAAGAAGAAGAAAGTTGATTGAGCTGATTGTGTTTCTCAACTGTTTAGCACCACAGAAAATAAAAATTCAGGTTTGAAAGTTTGAAAGCCCGGTTACAGGCTCTGTTTTTCTATTCTTTGCAGCTTTCAGCTTCTAGTGCTTTTGTAAGTCAGACAAAATTTATATTCCTGTCTACTTTACAGGGTTGTTGTGAAGAAAAAAAAAAAAAAATCTACCAAAGCGCTTTATAAATTAAAAGAGGACATACAAACATAATAGAAAGCTTCACTGAGTCACCCATGTACAGGATGACTGCTCTCTAGCTATCTGGATTCAGGGAACCAAGTTGTAATTGCAAACTTTTACCATGGAACATAGGGAAAATGGCCACACTGGGTTAGTTTTGTAGTTCTAAGTCTGGATTCCTGGATTTTTCCTTTTTTTATAGTCTAATTTTGGTTTCATTTTACACTTTCCAAAGAGGGAAGACAGAGAAAAAGTATGACTAATTCCCCCAAACTCTGGGGCCCAGCAGGTACATAACCAGACTTCTCTGATTCCAGGTTCATCCACACTGCTGGGAAGTTTCCATGTCTTGGGAAAAGCAGAGAAGGCTAGGGAAGCCCGTTGCGCCCCACCCCTACAGAAAGAATTCTCAGTGAGTCTATCACAGTGCTCTAGCTGAAGATGTATTTAAAACTAAAGAAGGTTTCAACTTAACATCTAAATTTTAAAACGGTAGCATTTCAGCAACCAGTCAGCTCTGAGAACTCGTCCCGGAAGTGAAATGAGAGAAGGACTGCTCTGACGTCTGATAGCTCTAAAGTCAGAGAGGAATTAATGTCTAGTTTGGGCGGGAGGCTTCCCTCATCTGATGCCTTCAAGCTTGTTGATTTGGTCCTGTTTGCTTTAAAATTTGTATCTTAGGAAAAAACCTCCACTTCCCAGGTTAGGCTTCCAGTTACAGGCACTATTCATCCAGCTCCCTCTTTATCTAATTATGATTAATAAGAACAAAACATTATTTGTAATCATACACGTATCCTTTATACTGAAGTGACAAAGAGTAGAGTTTCACTGTGACATTTTCATGCATACACCTTATCTCTGTACAACCTTAAGGATTCTTTAACATATATTTCATAGTTTCCTCTTACTAACATTGTGGTTTTCCTTACTAATGAGTGAACAGTTCTAACACATGAATTGATAATTACATTGTCATTTATTTCAGTCCTAAGGCATATGCTGACTATAATCTGCTCGAAAACATTTCAATGTCTCCTTTGTTCTTTCCAGCGCTAATATGAAATTGAACCATCTACATCCGTAACTTAAATTTACCAGGAAAACTCACATTTAAAAAAAATTACACAAGAATAAGCTAGATTATCACAATGTGGAAATGAACTCAAGAATTCAAAATATATCTCAGGAACACTTTATCTTCATGGTAAACATTCACTTTATGCAAATCCCACTTGGCTTCATTTAATTAAAAAGCTGAAAAAGAAAGAAAATTATATGCTGAAAATAAGGCAACACAATATGCTTTTTATTCATTCTAAATTACTACATGTAAATGTAATATAAAATGTCATAATTATAATTAATTCACCTCATTTTCCTTTCTTATCGGGGCATTTTCTCTGAACTAGTTCCTGAAATGGGGTCACGCTTGTGGGGAGAAGAGGCAGGGGTGGGAGAGATGCTGATAAGAACTTGAACTAGTGGTGTTTAAGTTTGGGTAAAATACCCTGTTTCTATGAACTGCTCTCATTGCTGGTTAGAGCATAGTTAAATCAGCATTTAAACTGGCAATGTAAGTAAAAGTTAGAATGAAAACTGTGGATGGATTAAAACAAAATTCTTTTTTCTCTTGAATCCGCAATTCATTCACTTACACAAAATAACTGAACACTTGATCTCTTTTAAATGAAACATATAACTGAATTATATTGAACCAAAAAGAACGTACATGTAAATGGTGTCATCAGATTCTGAGGAAACACAAATGGATGCTTGTCCATACAGAAATGAAAGCAGAAGATCGCTGTTTTTAACTTCCCTAAGCAAAGTTTTAATCTATGAACAGAAATAGAACTTGTAGAATGGTAAGTCAGTTTAAACAACATTGACTGACTTTGTCTGAGATTTGTACCTTTTTCTAACACGTGGTGGTTTTTTTGTCTTGACAACACAACTTTGGAGGACAACCAGAGACAAACCACGTTTTAACTAAACATTAAAACGAAAATGAAGTTAATGGTTGCTATAGCTGAAAAGCCATGTAGCTGGAAAACTAAGCTTAGTAAGTTTAATATTTGGATGTTTATAATATCCTTGTCATATATTTCTTGGTCTTTCTGAACCTCGGTTTCCTCATTAGTGAGAAGAACGTTTGTTTGGATGATCTCCAGAGTTCTTCTAGAGCTTGTACTTTACAAACCTAGTGACACGATGTGCTCAAAGTAAACACTATTAAAAAAAATAAAACCTTACATAAAATCTGCAGTAAATACTTAAAATGTTATATCATGTAAATTATAAAGTAAACATGCTATGCAAACTAAAACAATTACTCTGTATATCTGTCTCTGAGGAATTAGTAAAGGGTGGAAATCATGTGCTGATACCTAGATGCAACAAGACCTTGCTTCTGTTTTCAAACTAGCAAGTTCTGGCTGAGGTACCGCAAGGCTAACCCCCTCTGAGAACAAGAATGTCCGCAGGAAACGTCCCCGGCGCATTCAGCAGCGGCTGCCGTTCAGGCCACACAATCCTTAACACTGATGGCAATGCACGTGGATGTGGCCTTTGGAGAGGAACTCTGGCATTTTCCGTCATGCATTTTAAGCTTCCCCTAAAGATTAAAGCTAACTGAAGAAGGAGGGTTAATGATAAAAAGAAAACTTGATCATAAACAATTTAAAATGTAAAGTTGAAAAAATTATAACTTTAACAAAACTGAGGATTTGTAGGGTGTTGGTTTTTGTTTTCTAAACATGGTCTGAACATTTCAAGGTGTGGTGCACTAAAGATCACCTTTTATCACCGCTAAAAATACTTTACCGTAAGAGCAAAAACAGTAGTATGACCCCTGTGATCATCTTATACTTCCTAACTTTTGGGAGCTGGAAAAGCAAAAAAGATTCTATCATTTTTAGATGTTAAATTTACAAAATAAAAGGATCTCTGTATCTTCTTAATGTTAAAATAAACTAAGAATCCTTAGTTACCACATTATTGGTTCATGCTAGGGATTTTTCCCAAACTAAAATACTTATTTCTTCTAAAAAGCTGTTAAAACAATCCTTTGTTTTTATTCTTTTGTGCAATGACAAATATATATTTTATCTTGAACTGATACTATTGTTCTACAATGAAGGATAAGTTTAACAGAGTACTTCCTGTTCTTTTATGGTTAAAATCCTTTTCATAAAAAGCGTTGTAAGTTTACAAGTGTTCGAAGACATTGGACAGCTTGAAGCCTGTCAAAACTGTTTGCTTAAAATGCTTCTTAGAGAAGGGTACACTGTTATTCTCTAGGTAATCATTCAATATCAACATGAATATTAATATTAAATAGCCAACGTATATTCCAGTATGAATGTTTCATATGGATTTCACCACTCGGGACTTGTCCCTCAGTCTTACACATCAAGTTCTGACAAGATTTTTTTTTTTTTCTTTTTATTTACCTGTCTAGTAATTTTAGGGCATAACAGTTCTCATATATTTATGTTTCTAATAATGCTTGGATATTATCTTTCCAATAATGCTTACTGTAAAAAGGTATTAAATACTTGTGTAATACGAAAACTGTTGAATAGCAAACCAGAGTAGCCTCCTCTTATTTGAAATGTATTTTTCAGGGCTGTGGCTGCTTTCCTCAGAGAGGGGGCAGCTGCCTTGGGTGCCACCAGCAACTTCTGTCTAGACTCTCCTCCACCCTGTCATGAATGGTTTTCCTCACAGTTCATGGTAGTCGGCACATGTGTGACAGACACTGACTACTGTGACCGGCTTTGAAGTGACTGTATGTATGGTCAACGAACTCAAGTAGTAGTAGAAGTTGGAGGCCAGGCTGGTGAGTTCTACACAGGAGGATTAGAGAGCCGGGTAGAACCAGCACAGTTAGGTCCCAGAAACTCTCCCTTTTTCTAGCTTAAATGGGCGCAACTATTCCCTTCTAGTCTGTGTAACTTGATTATTGTTTAGAGCACATCACTGATGCAGAGGAGACTGTGTATACAAAGGGGTGGGATGGAAATCTCAAAACACCTTCCAGGTCTGGCTCTTTCCTAATTACTCCCTCACACTAGCACACATTTTATTTACATAAAAATGTAGTCCTTGACTTGCTGAGAACCAAGGTTCTAAAAGTTGGTAGCAAGGTTATTATCTGAAATTCAAAATAAGTTTTTCTAGAGCAACATTGTTTAAAATGGTAGTTATTTTCTCAAATTTGGGCCAAACATTGTCCATCTCCATCAGTATTCTGCAAAGACTTATTGACCACCTATCGCATACGAGAATATCATGTATAGAAGGGTGGTCGTAACACATGTAATGACTAAAGGTCATGGCCATTATATTTCTCTTCCAGAGGAAAGTAAGACCCAGACAAAATTAAGTATAGCACAGTGATATACTTGATATGATGGCAAGTCAAAGTGTTAGAGGAATTGAAAAACAAGCATATAAGGCAAAACTCTGACTTTGAGAATAAGTTAAATGAAGCGATAGTGGCTTAGGCTAAAGGGGCTGAGTGCAGAAATGTGCCAAAGAATGACAATAACATTGTGTTGTATTCAGTATGTCTAAATGAGGAGTCCGTACACTTTTTGTAAAAGGCCCAGAAAGTGAATACACACTGTGGGCTAGAAGTCTCTGTTGAAACCACTCAACTAAGCTGTTGTAGTGCAAATACAGCCCATAGACGATATAGAAACAAATGAATCTGGCTGTGTACTGATAAAACTCTTGACGGATACTGAAATTTGAATTTTAAATAATTTTCACACATCACAAGATATCCCCCCCCCCCCTTAACTTAGAACTGTAAACACACTTCCTAGTTGACGTGGCACACAAAAATGGCCAGGCGGCCAGATGTGGTCACAGGCAATAGGTGCTGACTCGTCTACTACTACGTCCTAGGGTATGATGAAGGCTGTGTGTGTTATAAGAAGAAATAGAGAACACAGACGGAATCAAACTTGAAAGAATTTAAGGTGATGGATACAATGGAGTTATTATGTCGCTAGTAAAATCATATTGTAGAATACTTAATGGCACTAAAATCTATTCACGATGTATATGAGAGGGATAAAGTAGCTTGTAAAATATGTATGGTATAATCCCTTCTTAGGTTCAAAAGATAAACAAGCCAAAGAATTGACATCGATAACCTAGGTGTTGATTATGAAAAATTTCATATTTTTTTTCCTTTTTGCTTATCTAGATCATGTAAAGGAATATGTATTAGCTTTTTCCCTCTTTCTTGTTATTATCCATTAATGGATTTTGATAAAGCAACATAATCTGTGCATATCTTAAATTAATTCTGTATTACTCTAGAATAAGTGATTGCTTATGGAAGATAATGACTATACATTGGGAGATAAGCTTAGGGGATAGTCTGAAAAAGGCCCACGTGTATCAAGAGGGCAGCAGTGGGAACAGAAAGTGATGGAGGCCCAGACGAGTGACTCCTCTAGGCCTGTGAGAAGAACGTCGTCTTAGGGAAAATGGGGAGAAGAGCAGAAAATAGGTTTGGAGCACAGAGGAGGCTGCCCTTTAGCCGTGTGGGGGGTGAGGTGGTAATGTGGTATTCAGGTCTGGTTCTAGATCTCAGGAGAAAGGTGGTCAGGATCTGACTTGCATATGGAAGTGGGAAATAACTGGGAAGGAAAAAGGAAGGTGTAAAAGTATCATGTTACAAAATCCAAGGTAAAACGTTTCAAAGAGGAGCTGGTCAACCAAAGTGCTAGAATGATTATGTGGGTTGTAGAACGAGAAGAGACCTCTGGTTTTGGTCACTGGAGACACTGATTATATGCACAGCATGTTTATTCCTTTTTTCTTCCTGTGAAATATTTAAATAGGGATGAAACAGTGGTGTGCATTTTGTTTTTACTTACCTTAAACTGTCTTTTGTTGGTGTTTAAAAAAAACCAGCATGTACACAATGCTCTTAAATGAATGAATTCTGTCCAACTGGGAGCTTGTTAAGTTCTCTGAGCTTTTCGGGTGGACACAATTTTCTTCTGTACTATACTTACTGCCTATTCTCAAACTAGGTCAGGGAGACCTGATTACAAGACACTCTGTCTTACAGAAATCATTCATGTGTTCAATCAGCAGTTGCTCACACTTCATTTTGGTTTTGAAAAAAAAAAAAAAAAAAAAAGTATAGAAGACAGGAAAAGCCTTGCTTCTTTCCAGACAGCATGGATGGCCCACTACTTGATTTTTCACTCCTGTTTGGCCTTGTAGTT